TGTCCCAACCGCGGATGCTCCGCTCAGCATCTTTGATCTCCTCCTCAGCCTCTCGGTATTTGTTTGGGAAATATTTCCAGCTCCCCAGCGAGGAGGAGAGCCCTGGCTGGGCTGTGCTGAGCTCAGTCCCCACCCCAAATTTGGAATGAATCCCGAATTTTCGGCTGCTGGGCTCGCGCAGCCCCCGCTGCCTGTGTGGAGCATCCTCTCTCCTCTCCCCGGGTGCGTTTGGTGCTGTGACACCCGGAAAGCCCCAAATGAGGGGAAATGAGGGGAAATGAGGATTTTGTGAGCGCAGGAATAAACTCCGAGGGGTTTCGGGAGCAGCTCCTCTGCCCTGAGCGGGTGGGACAGGCAGGAGACACAAAAATCCTTTTGGGATACAGAACAAACACAAAACCCCTTTTGGGATACAGAACAAATACAAAAATCCTTTTGGGGTACAGAACAAATACAAAAATCCTTTTGGGATACAGAATAAATACAAAAATCCTTTTGGGATACAGAACATAATACAAAAATCCTTTTGGGGTACAGAACAAATACAAAACTCCTTTTGGGATACAGAACAAATACAAAACCCCTTTTGGGATACAGAACAAATACAAAAATCCTTTTGGGATACAGAACAAATACAAGAATCTTTTTGGGATACAGAACAAATACAAAACCCCTTTTGGGATAGAGAACAAAACCTCCTGGGAGGAGAAGCCGCCGCTCCCTGGAGCTCATCCCTGCCCAGCATCGCCGCTTTCTGTTCCCAGCACCATCCCCGGGCTCCCCCGGGCCCCTCCCGGGCCTTTCCCGGGACCTTGGGGCGCTCCCGGTGTTTCTGAGTCAGCCCAGGAGGGACCGGGGCCGCTCCTCTTCCCCTTTCCCAACAAAAACGCCGGAGCTGCTGGCAAAGGTCACGGCCCTGGTGATGCTCGAGCCCTTCACAGGGGGAAAAACAGGAGTTTGGGGTGGATTGTTAAAGGAAAACGAGGTTTGTATGTTTTTTATATAGAATTTGAAAGTTTAATAGACAATTAGGAGATAAAAATAAATATACAGATCCGGCTGGGTGTCTCTGGGTTCATCTCACTGACAAAGGATTGTGCCTTAAAAACAGAACCCTACTACGTATCCATAAATTCTCTGTAAGTTATTTTATTTTATTTTATTTTATTTTATTTTATTTTATTTTATTTTATTTTATTTTATTTTATTTTATTTTATTTTATTTTATTTTATTTTTATTTTTATTTTTATTTTATTTTATTTTTTCTTATTTTATTTTATTTTATTTTATTTTATTATTATTTTTATTTTATTTTCTTTTATTTCTTATTTTATTTTATTTTATTTTTTCTTATTTTTTCTTATTTTTCCTTATTTTTTCTTATTTTATTTATTATTTTATTTATTCTTATTCTTATTCTTATTCTCATTCTTATTCTTATTCTTATTCTTATTTTTTTTATTTTATTTTATTTTATTTTATTTTATATTGTTGTATTATAAATACAAATATTAGTATAAATATATAAACTTAAGCATAAACATAAACATAAATATATAAATATATATTTATACAAATATATAAATGTAAATAAATATATAGAGATAAATTACAATATTTATTTACATATATAAATATAAATATAAATATATAAAAATATAAATATAAATATAGATGTAGATATAAATATAGATATAAATATATATAGATATAAATATAAATATATAGATTAAATATAAATATAAATATAAATATAAATATAAATGTAGATATAAATATAAATATAAATATAAATATAAATATAAATATAAATATAAATGTAAATATAAATATAAACACAACCTGGCAAACCCCATGGTTGTATTTCAGAACTCATATTTGGGTAAACAATTTTCCTGCACCATCCTGGGAGCTTTCCCCGTGTTTCCCTTGCATCATTCCGTGCCCAGCAGAGCGATCACATCATTCAATTAAAAATTATCCTTTGATTGCCCCGAGGGCTGGGAGCAGCACTTGGGAAATGCTCATTTAATACCTGAATTCTTCTGCTATCAGCGTTATTCAGCGCTTAGGCAGGGCTCTCCTCCAGGAGAACAAAACCCAAGCTTTTTTATCCTGTTTCATAGAAAATTGGGAGATAGAAATAAAACAAAATATACAAACAGGGCCTCAAGCATTCAGCCACCTTAATAACAAAAAATAGTTCTTCAAAATATAAATTTATCACATATTCATAAATTCTCATACACGAGTTAAACATTCCCATGAAGTTTTAGATGGTTTTTTATTTAGTTTCGACTCCCCCCTCCCCAACAGATCAATCTTGGCCCCGTTGATTCTCTCTGATATAAAATAAATTCTTTATTTCAATTTATCTCTGATAAATTCCCGTCACCGCTGTCTTCACCTGGATAAAATCATCCAAGAATTTAGGGGAGGTTTCTTGGTTATCTTTTCATTCTCTGGGTTATATGAACAAAAATAATTTCTATTTTAATACCATGCTACAACCTAACATATAAATCTATATAAATATATATTTATTATAGCACTATTTCTACGTTCTATCAATAACAGAAATAGAAGGAACCATTTTAATACAGCGAAGATTTCCAGCATTGCGCGCACAGCATTCATTTTAATATCTGCGAAAAGCCGATAATGTAAATTAAATGTAAATATGTGTTTATAACAGCGGGGTTGGTGCTTCCGTGGTGTCCGCAGCTCCTTCACCGCGCCTTCGTTCATTAATGCGGGGATTCCTGTGGGCTCTGCAGCGCCCTCGGACCCCTCGGCTCCCCAGAAATCCCAAAAATCCTCCAAAATCCCCCAAATCCCCCGAAATCCCCCAAAATCACCGAGCGCGCGCTGCGGACACGTGGAGGGAGCGGCCGAGGCTGCGGCGCCGAGGGGCGGAGCTATGCAAATGAGAGGCGTGACCGCAATACCATATATGACAATATGGGCGTGGTTATGTAAATGAGGCGCCGATTGGGACAAGGGGCGTGGTTATGGTATGAACGTGAGTGCATGAGGAGGGGGCGTGGTTATGGAAATGAGCGCACGCGTATGGAATAAGGGGCGTGGCTTGCCGCGCGGGCCCCGGCGCGCGGCGCTGTG